GATTTGGCGCTATAGAGAAAGTACCACAAGGGAAAGATGAAAGAACGGATTAAAAGCATCACACAGCAAAGCTTACACCTTGTACCTTTTGCATAATGAGTTAGCTAGACATAATCTAACAAAGAGAACTTAAGCTAGAACCCCCGAAACCAGACGAGCTACCTACGAACAATCTTTACAGGATGAACTCGTCTATGTTGCAAAATAGTGAGAAGATTCATAAGTAGAGGTGAAAAGCCTATCGAGCCTGGTGATAGCTGGTTGCCCAGAAAAGAATTTTAGTTCAACTTTAAACTTGCCTAAAAAACCCAAAATTATAATGTAAGTTTAAAATATAGTCTAAAAAGGTACAGCTTTTTAGAACTAGGATACAGCCTTCATTAGAGAGTAAGCACAAACACAACCATAGTTGGCTTAAAGGCAGCCACCAATTAAGAAAGCGTTAAAGCTCAACAATCATCATGCCTTAATACCAAAAACACACAACAAACTCCTAATTTAATACTGGGCTAATCTATTTAACAATAGAAGCAATAATGCTAATATGAGTAACAAGAAATACTTCTCCTTGCACAAGCTTATATCAGAACGGATGTCCACTGATAGTTAACAACAAGATATAAACAACCCAACTATAAACCAAATATCTTAAACCAACTGTTAATCCGACACAGGTGTGCACCCAAGGAAAGATTAAAAGAAGTAAAAGGAACTCGGCAAACAAAAACCCCGCCTGTTTACCAAAAACATCACCTCTAGCATTTCCAGTATTAGAGGCACTGCCTGCCCAGTGACACAAGTTAAACGGCCGCGGTATCCTGACCGTGCAAAGGTAGCATAATCACTTGTTCTCTAAATAAGGACTAGTATGAATGGCCACACGAGGGTTTAACTGTCTCTTACTTCCAATCAGTGAAATTGACCTTCCCGTGAAGAGGCGGGAATATAAAAACAAGACGAGAAGACCCTATGGAGCTTCAATTAATTGACCCAAAGAGACAAAATTATAACCAACAGGGACAACAACTCTCCACATGGGTCAACAATTTAGGTTGGGGTGACCTCGGAGCATAAAACAACCTCCGAGTGATTTTAATCTAGACTAACCAGTCAAAAGTATAACATCACTTATTGATCCAATACACTTGATCAACGGAACAAGTTACCCTAGGGATAACAGCGCAATCCTATTCTAGAGTCCATATCGACAATAGGGTTTACGACCTCGATGTTGGATCAGGACATCCCGATGGTGCAGCAGCTATCAAAGGTTCGTTTGTTCAACGATTAAAGTCCTACGTGATCTGAGTTCAGACCGGAGCAATCCAGGTCGGTTTCTATCTATTACGCAATTACTCCCAGTACGAAAGGACAAGAGAAATAGGGCCTACTTCACTAAAGCGCCCTAAGTACAATAGATGATATAATCTCAATCTAAACAACTCACACAACCCGCCGCCCGAGATTCTCGGGCTTGTTAGGGTGGCAGAGCCCGGTAATTGCATAAAACTTAAACCTTTACTATCAGAGGTTCAACTCCTCTCCCTAACAACATGTTCGCACTTAACATTCTCTCACTAACCATTCCTATTCTTCTAGCCGTAGCTTTCCTAACTTTAGTAGAACGCAAAGTACTAGGCTATATACAACTACGCAAAGGACCCAACATCGTAGGACCATTTGGACTGCTACAACCCATCGCAGACACCCTAAAACTATTTACCAAAGAGCCCCTACGACCTCTCACATCATCCATCTCTATATTCATCATAGCCCCTATCCTGGCACTCTCACTTGCATTAATCATATGAGTACCACTACCTATACCGTACCCGCTCATCAATATGAACCTAGGTGTCTTATTCATACTAGCCATATCCAGTCTCGCCGTCTACTCAATCCTATGGTCGGGATGAGCCTCAAACTCAAAATACGCCCTAATCGGAGCCCTACGGGCCGTAGCCCAAACAATCTCATATGAAGTAACACTAGCCATCATCCTGCTATCAGTGTTGCTAATAAACGGCTCATACACACTAGCCAAAAAAAAAAAAAAAAACAGACCAATCTGTTATTGATTTTTAATGTAATTAGCATTTGTGATCAGATAACACACTTTGTATTTTTAGTCCTTTTAAATTTGTTGAAGCTTGATTTATGGCCTAACATATGATCTATCTTGGAGAATATTCCATGTGTATTGATAAGACTATGAATTTTGCTATAGTTAGGTGGAATGTTCCATAAATAATTCTTAGGTTTAGTTGGTTTTTGGTTTTGTTCAAGTCTTCAATTTACTTTTTGATCTGCATACTTGTTCTACCTATTATTGAAAATGGTCTACTTTTATTGATTTTTTATTTATTTCTCCTTTTAAAAAATTGTTCATTTATTTTGAGAGAGAGAGAGAGAGAGCAGGAGAGGGACAGAGAGAGAGGGAGAGAGAGAATCCTAAGTAGGCTTTATGCTCAGCATAGAGCCGATGCAGGGCTCAATCATATGACTGCAAGATCATGACTTGAACCTATAATGAGAGTTGGATGCTTAACTGACTGAGCCACCCAGGCACCCTTCTATTCCTCCCTTTGATTTGTCAGCTTTTTAAAAAAATTTTTTAATGTTTATTTATTGTTGAGACAGAAACAGAGCATGAGTGGGGGAGGGGCAGAGAGAGAGGAAGACATAGAATCCAAAGCAGGCTCCAGGCTCTGAGCTGTCAGCACAGATCCACACATGGGGCTCGAACTCACAAACGGTGAGATCATGACCTGAACTGAAGTTGGACACTTAACCGACTAAGTCACCCAGGTGCCCCGATTTGTCAGCTTTTGTTTTGTGAATTGGGCAGTTTCATTGTCACATGCATATATATTATAATTATCTGTCTTTTTGATGTACTAACACTTTTATCACCATAAAATGTCATTCCTTGTCTGTAGTAACAATTTTTCTTAAAATCAATTATATTTAGTATATGTATTGTCAGTCCTCCTCTCTTCCTGGTTGTTGTTTGTACAGTATATCTTTTCATATCCCTTGACTTTCAACCCATTTGTTTATTTGAATTTAAAGTGTATCTTTTTTGGGGGGTGCAATAAATTGATTTTATTAAAGTATGGGGACAGGACTGGTGGTCAGGAAGAGCTGCACTGGGGCTGTGAACAGTGATTGATTATATACTATAGAGTTGGGGGAGGTAAAGGCAAAAGGGAGGCCTCCAAAAGGACTTTTATATGCATAGAAACCAGAAGCCTTGCTATTGTTAAACTAAGTTGTTTTCCTCTTGTAAGGTATTAACATTAAGACAGTTGGGAGTTCCTGGAGAAATGTTATACTCTGCATTTGCCTCAAGTAGTTTTCAGTGGGCTCCAGGCTATAAGGAAATTTAATTTTACCTACCATTTCCTTCTTGCCTTTGTTTCCTGCCTCACTGTGGAAGGGAGGGTAATGTTGGGGCTCTAGCAAACTGAGTCTATAGGTTTCTGGAGATTAGGCTATTGATAAGATTGCCTTTTTCTTGTAAATTATTAAGACATTTGTAAACCTGCATCACTATGATCTTTATTAGTTAACCATTTGTTTTCCTCTTTCCTTTGTTCTTGAGCAGCCAGGGGTGCCTGAGGAATGTCACACATATCCTACCCAGGCGGAGTAGGGTTATTGTTAGCTTGTGCTTTGTCTTCAGTTTACCTTATGCTCCTTTATCATATCCCCTCTGAAATAGATAGCATGTAGTTGAATAATGTGTTCTTTAAATTCATTCTGTAAATCTGTCTTTTGATTAAAGCTTTCAATCCATTTACATTTAATGTAATATTTAAAAGATGTTTACACTTGACATTTTACTATGTGCTTTCTATATGTCTTATAAACTTTTTTCTTTTGTTCTTTCATAAAGGTCTTTTTGTGTTAAATATTTTAGTACACACCTTTTTAAAAAATTATTTTTAACTTTTATTCATTTTTTGAGAGAAAGACAAAGAGCATGAGCATGGGAGGGGCAAAGAGAGGGAGACACAGAATCCGAAGCAGGTTCCAGGCTCTGAGTTATCAGCACAGAGCCTGATGTGGGGCTTGAACCCATGAACTGTGAGCTCATGACCTGAACTGAAGTCAGATATCAACCAACTAAGCCACCCAGGTGCCCCTTTAGTGCATCTTTTTAATTACCTTGTTGTTTATTTTACTATATATTTTTCACTTATTTTCTTGGTGGATGCCCAGGAGATTACAATAAATAACTTAAACAATAATAACTTAAACAAATTAATACCAACTTAATTTCAAAAGTATTGTGCTATTATTGTTGTACTAATACATTTTTATACATTATAAGCCCCAAACACAATTTTGTCATAGGACAAGTGACAGTCCTATGTTCTCTGACTCTTACAGGCCCTGAGCAGAAGACAAGGTCTCATTATTGTGTTTTCTGCAACTAGCTCTGACACCCATGCCCAATCCCAAGGATCCTTAAATTAGGGAAATCTGGCCCATCATCTAACAGGTGCTTACTAGATTTACATGGTTGCACTGTGCTCAATATGATGAAAGGCACCAAGGAGTCACAGAGAAAGTCTAAGATATAGGACAGATAATGCAGCTGTGAAGACAGGAATAGGTCACAACACAGTTCTGAAACAATCAGACATGGAGTATAAATACTACTTCAAAAGAAGAGAATGGAGAACCTGGTGTGAATAAATATAAAGGGAAGACTTTATGGAGGAAGGGATCAAAAAATAGGTAGAAACTAAAGAAATAGAGGAAAGAGTAAAAGGAGGAGGGGGAGGGGTGAATGGACAGTATATAGAGAAAACGAAAGGAATACAGAAATAGGGAAAGAGATGTCGAAGTCTGATAGGAAGGAAGTTGCAAGTGATTTTGTCACATATATCTCATCCCATGGAGCCCTTGCATGCAGCTCTAGTTTTGGTTTCCCTGCCGTGGGGCCACCCCCAGAAGCTAACTGTGTCCTATGTCTATTTGACTCTCTACAGCTCCCCTTCACTGAAGGCCTGTACCACTTTTACCACAATGGCCTTGCAAAGGCCAAGAGAAGACGCAGCCTACATCACAAGCAGCAGCTGGAGAGAGACCCCAGGGTGAGTTTCCCTGGACACCTGCCTTCCAACCTCTGCTGCTACACCTGAGTCCACTGAGGGAATGTATAAAGGGGTGTGCTGGGAATTTTGAAGTAGAGACCGTCAAGTATTGTGATAGGCAAAATGGAACTTTGGCAGAGTGGTACTGGGGACTCACTACTCCTCTACCTTGTGCATGATAAGTAAATATTTTATAGGTTGTGGAGCAGGTGAGGAATAAACAGAGACACCACCTCTTTACTTGTTATCTTTTCCTGCATTATTGTGTTTGGACTTCTGGTTGCCTGGGAACATATTTTGGCCTGTGATGGATGGGAAGAAACCAAAATGTTTAATGAGTCATTTTATGGAAGGTTTCTTCTGGTGAATTCACATGCTTGAGGAGGTTACTGTGCCCATCCTGGGCATGGAGAAATGAGTGAGCCAGCAAATGTCAGGCTCACAGTAGGCAATGGACTTCTCAGTATCCATGCAAGGTTGCAGACTTTCTCTCCATATTTTATCACATCCATCTAATTTATCACCATACCTCAAAGGTGCTCATGACCCCCATTTTTAACTTAGAGTCTTTACCTTGCTCTTGGAATCCAGGTCTCATTTCCTACTCTCCCTGGAGACTTAAATTCAACTTCCTCACAGTCAGACTTATTACTTTAGCCACGAAGCAGCTCCCTTTCCAGAATAGGAGATTTGGTCATTCTTGAATCCTCTATCAAATCCCTTCTTCCATCCCCCTATACTTACAGACTCATTCAATTGACTAATATAAATTATTATCTTATTAATTATTAATAATATGTTATTATCTTATTAATTAAGGAAAATTAATAATCCAGGCAAGTTGTTCTCTGTACATTGATGGCTGCACAAGTCTTCTCCAGAACTCTTGGGGGAAAGTGGATATAAAATGGGTCAGACATTTGAGTTAGAGACTTATACATGAGATTCTTTTGGAATTGATGGAATCTAGAAACTCATTCTTGTGGGGCTTTTCATGTTAACATTTGGCTGGGTTTAATTTGGGCTTTAATTAGAAATACAGATGAAACAGACTTCCCAGCAGACCCCCAACTGACAAGCCATAGGCAGTTTTCCTTTAACTCCTTAACCCAGGGGATCCCCCATTCCCTGGAGTGGAAATTCTGCTCTGAGAAGCCACTTTATCTGCTTTCACAGTAAGACCCAAGCTGCCTGCTGCCAGCTCATGACAGGCCTCTTAAAGGGTCTGTTGTAGAAGCTGGCACCATTATCTGAGGGAAAAAGGTCTCTTTTCTGTGTCATAACAGCATTGGCCCTGACTGTACCAATTCAGAGCTTGAGAAATATCTTGGGGAGCCTCTTGACAGAAATCTTGTATGTCTCACCTATGGATCCAGAGTGGATACTAGTAGACAAAGACCATTCTGGTGCACTGTGACATTGGTTTTCCCAACACCTTATCTCTGTCCCATGATCTTACACTTTATGGTCAATTGTTTTCCTTTTATTTATATATTTGCTTCAAAGTCCCATTGGGTTCTCCTCTTCCACAATTAAAGATGTTGCCTCAAGACCATCCAGAGAGAAAAACATAAACGAAACTGGGACAGAGAGAAAGTGATGCTTAAGAAAGAGAATTGTGAACAGTGAAACTAAGAAGCCATTGTTTGGGTCAGATAGACTCCTTCGGCCCATTTAAGTTAAGATATTCTTATACTTACTTGAAATGATCTTTGAAATGCTTATTCTTGAAGTTTAGAGTGATGTGTTCAAATGAGAAGAAAATAAAATGGATTAAGTAGTAAAGAAGGAGATCATGCACTAGTGATTCTAATCATTTGTCTTTATCTTCAAAATATTGTCTGTTTTAACCAAAAGGGGCATCCATTCTCCCTTCACTGCCCCCTATAAGGATCCTGGTAGTTATCTGCCTCTACCTGGTGGGACAACCATCTGCCCTGCCCATGATCGGTAGAAAATAGGGGGGACACTAAGGATCATACATCTCCTATGCCTTTTCTCTGTCCTCTCATTGAGGGTAAATGTTAAGGCTGTTGTCAATAATAAAGTCACTCTAGGAAATGAAAAAAGCATAAAATCTCATAATTCTTTAGGGGAAAAAAAGCTGCTAGTGATGACTGCCTCATTTCAAAATATTAGATTAAGCCCTGAGTCTTTCCCACATGATGTTCTTTTGGTTATCTAATTTTGGTCTCAGCTGACTGCAAAATATGGGGGTGACTATTTTTTTATTCCAGTGTGATGAACATACAGTGTTATGATTTTTTCAGGTTTACAATATAGTGATTCAGCAATTCTATACATTACTCAGTGCTCATCACAAGAAGTGTACTCTTAATCCCCATCACCTATTTCACCAATCCCCAACTCACCAATCTTCCCACTAGTAAATGCCAGTTTGTTCTCTATAGTTAAGAGTCTGTTTGTTTGTTTGATTGGTTGGTTTGGTTTGTCTTTTTTTTCTTTGTTCATTTGTTTATTAAATTCCACATATGAGTAAAATCTTATGACCCTTACCTTTCTTTGACTGGCTTATTTCACTTAACATGCTACTCTCTAAATCCAACCATGTTGTTGCAAATGAAAATATTTCATTCTTTTTATGGCTGAGTAGTATTCCATTGTGTATGTGTATATATATATATATATATATACATACATATATACATACACATATATATACATACATATATATATACACATATATACATACATATATATACATACATACATACATATATACATACATATACACATATTCCATTGTGTATATATATATACATATATACACACACATACACAAAGATATACCATATCTTCTTTATCCATTCATCTATCAGTGGACACTTGGACTGCCTCCATAATTTTACTATTGTAAATAATACATAGGGATGCATATATCTTTTCAAATTAATGTTTTATTTCATATTCTTTGGGCAAATACTCAGTAGTGGAATTCTGGGATTGTAAGGTAGTTTTGTTTTTAATTTTTTGAGGAATCTCCATACCATTTTCCACAGTGGCTGCACCAGTTTGCATTCCTACCAACAGTGTATGAAATTTCCTTTTTCTCCTCATCCTCATTGGAGGGGATACTATTCTTAAACAAAAAGCACGGACTATGGCCAGTGCAAGAGTAGCAATATAAGGATTCTGCCCTGTTGGTTTACAGATCTTAAACAAAAAGGCAAATCTGCTGAGAATTATGATACCAATTATGAGGAAACCAAAAGACCCTCAGTTTTGGGGTTACAAGCATATTCACACAGGCTGCAAAAAGAAAAGTAAATGGAAGTATAGGAAGGAAAAGGAAAGGACCAGATAGCCAAAGAGGACTACTAGTCCAGGCTTATCTCTCGAGTAAATGTTTTAAGTTACATTTTATGAACCAACATCTTAAGAGAAAGTTGTTTTAGGGGTGGGGGGAGGGGAAGGGAGGTGATGGGCATGAAGGAGGGTACGTGTGGGGATGAGCACTGGGCGTTATATGGAAACCAGCTTCACAATAAACTATTAAAAAAAAGAGCAAGTTGTTTTATCATTCTCTGAAATATGTTATCTCCTAGGCCTGCATCATGCTTGCAGCCCCAGTTTCCTTCTTCCTTCTGTCTCCACATTTCTTCCTGGCTTTTCTCACTCACTGTCCTACAACTGGGGAAGAAGGATGCAAAACCCAAAGAACCAGGTATTTAAGAGCAGGAGGGTTTGAGCAGCTACAGGCTTTCAGGAGTGAATCTACTAGGTAGTTTTTTAGTCATAGAAACTACCAAGGTGTGTTGTCAACTCAAGATATAAGGAAAAAGGTAGCGGATAAAACTTGACTTTGGTTTTGTTTTGGCTTCAGAACAAAAATTTCAAGGATGGTTCACCCTCATCTAGAAAATACTTTTTGTGTTTAAGAAAAACAAGAGAAAGACTGAAAAAAGATCATATGTGTTTTTTGTCCAGGCCAATAAAGTGCTACTTTCAATGTGTTCATATTCATTCACTGAGTGACAGGACAACAGTTAGGAAAATAGATTCTGATGCAGATTGTTTTAAAGGTGTTCTCTTGCCTTTCCATCTCTATTCGCTAAAAGAATTAGCAGAGTGACATTGTGTGTCAACTACACTCAAATAAAATAATTAATTGAAGAAGAAGAGTAAAGAATTAGAAGACTGAGTAGCATCTTTTAGATGTGAAAAAGGAAAAATTGTGTCTTGCTTATTTCTGGATATCTTTGCACAGTGCAGTTCTCAATACATAGTAGATGTTCAATAAATAACTGTCGAATGAATGGTTAGTAATTTTTCCTCAGGGTTTTAATCCATGAAAAAGTTCTTCTAATCTTATATTTTCATCCCTATTCTAAAATGTGCACCCTCTAGGAAACAGTATAGCATTCTCTTTAGCTCCTCCTTTAAATATATTCTTAATTGTGGATAAAAGAAACCAGTTACCATTTTATTACTTCCAGGCCCTGTCACTGAGAACCCCATGAAGAACCAGTTTTATGTATGTATGTATGTATGTATGTATGTATGTATGTATGTATTTATTTAGTGAGAGAGAGAGAGAGAGTGAGCAAGGGAAGGGTGGAGAGAGAGGGAGAGAGAATCCCAAGCAGTCTCCACACTTGTTACCATAAAGCTCAATGCAGGGCTCGAACTCATGAACCATGAGATCATGACCTGAGCTGAAATCAAGAGTTGGATGCTTAACCGGCTGAGCCAACCATGTGTTCCAAGAGCCAGTTTTTCATTTCAAAAGTCCAATACACTGGATTGCTGATCATATTCACGGTCCTGTACAACCATCCATGTGAGGGCAATATATTTGGAAAGTTTGGGTAGCTAAACTAATTTGAAGAGAGAATCATTAAATCTAATGCTGGGATGAAATAATAAAACTAAAAATGACTTCTGAGAATCATGGTTAAGAGCAAATATTCCCTGCCCAAAATGTCTGTGGGATTTGTTAAACTTTGGCTAAGAGCAACGTCAACAAATCTTGAAGCCAA